GAATAATGCCAGGAGGAGATTGTAGTAATCCAGGAGCTAGATGGTAGCTTGTTCTGTGATGCTAGAAAGGAATGGAGATAGGAGTGAGGACTTGCTGAATCTGGATATGTTTTGAAGGTGGAGTTAGTAGAATATGTTGGTGGGTTGGATGTGGGTGTGCAAAGAGAAGAAGAAACAGTGGAAGTTTTGGTCCTAGACCACTGGCAGGATGAGGAAAGAGAGAAAGAAGCAGCAGTTGCAACTCAGGAAGCCTGGTGTGAGCTACTTGGAGGTTTAGCCAGGGAGCAAAGCGATAAACTCTCGTCGTCTAGTCAGAAGCAGCCTGGCCTTGAGTTTGAGAACAGCAGGCTAGCAAAGTGAGTGCACACTTGGAAAGAAGTGCACTTGCTGTTGACCTGCTCGCAGGCAGCTGAGTTATTTTGGCCTCGCTCTGGCTCTTTGGGAAGATGCCTTCGTTTGGTGAACAGGAAGTTGTTTCCATGGGCATAGAAAGAAGAAATGCTAGAACGAGTGGCAAAGTCTAGAGCTGCTAGCTGTGCTTAGCACACAGGCTGCCTTCCTCCTTGCTCGGCTGGGTTCACTATTCATCCTGAGAAATGCAAAGTTTCTGCCCATCACTTGACCTCTTGATCCTTTTCAGCAGTGTTTTACATCAGCTCAGGACGAATGGAGACACTGTCTTCGCAGAGTGGAAAAGTGACTTATTTTAAGAAATGTTAGCTCCTCACCACTGTCCCATTGGTGGCATGCTTCCAACACTCCAGAGAAGCTGGTCTAGGGAAGTAAAGACTGACTTATGTGCGTTTTGCTTTTTGAAAGGTTAGAACCTGAATACCACACAGTATTTTTTCCTCCCAAGTAAGATTAGAACAAACTTAGAGTTCTGAGGCATCTGAGACGAAGAGTAAATTCTGATCTGAGGCATCGTATATTAGCAGCTGCAGAATTTATTCCTTTTCCTGTTGCCCCTCAGAGGTTATGTCTGATGGTGTCACTAACTTCTGAAAAATTTTATGAGGTCAAGCAGATAAAGAGCAAAGAAGTCCAACTCCAGTGACTGAAGGTGATGGGACAGGGAAAGAACCTACACTCCACTGTGATAAGAATAGGGAACAGAAGAAAACTGACTGACCTCTGCTGTGTGGTTTTCATGGTTGGAGGAAAGCTGTAGAGAGCTTTCAATTCACTCCAGACTTAACTAAGATAAGTAGTTAATTGGTGGTGAGAAGGGTCTGGGTGTGATGGGTCTTCTGCAGCAGGTTGAGATCTGTCTAGGTGGAAGGAGGGGTAGGAATCTAGAAATACCAGAAGCTAGGGTCCTGGCCAAAGTTGAGGTGGGTAGGTCTCCAAGGCTGGTATTGGTAGGACATGGGAGAGCTAGCTCACTGAATGGCCTGAGGACATTCCTTACAGCTGGAATGCGGACAGGGTTCAAACTGTATTTACTTTGAATATTGAGTGGATTCACCTGCTGTGTGAGCACCCCACTATTCAAATGCAGTGACTACATGTTAAGCATAGGCTGGGCTGCTGCTCAGTATTTCTTCACTGGAGTTAGATATCACACTGGAACTTGAATTTTTTCTTCCTGCCTATTGAGCATATAGGAATATAAAGCAGCCCTTTGTCAGCAGACCACTGAAAGGAGAATTTCAGCAGGGACTGAAAACCACCACAAGCTGTTGGCTTCCTGGTACACCCACTAGACCCAGAGGCTTACGCTGAAAGCAAACTGATGGGTGGGGGGATTCCAGTGGACAAAAATAAAAGCTGAGGTCAAGGTGTGAATGAGGCTAAGCCCTTAAGACAGAGCTGTGCGTGGAGAAGAGCCCAGTACTACTAAGGAGGAAAAGTGTGGGCGCCAGGCGCAGGGCCAGGAGGAGACGCCTAATGTTCACGGCTAATGCAGTGTAATAAAGTGATTTGTATGTCTGTATATCCATAATTACAGGAATACTTTGGGGAAAGTTTATAGTTAAAGTTCTGTGCAGTTTTAAATATTACAGTTGTACCCACTATACTCCCACAAATACCTTTAACCAGGACCCTGAACAGTGACAGTTTGTGTATAGAATAGCACTTTTAAGCACAACAGACTCTTGAAGAACTTTGTGATCTCTTAATGAAATAATGTTATCTGCATGATTTTTGAGTGAACCTTTAAAACACATACTTTAAAATGTCTTTGAAAATTCAAGTTTTGTCATATATGTTAAGTCTTAATCAGTATACAGGTTTATCTCCAAATACTTGAACTTTTCATTGGCTCTGGAATATAAAAGTTTACTTCTGTTTAGCAGTTTAACAGACCGGGGCAGTGGGGTATTGGCAGTGTGAATGTTTTGTCCAAGGACAACTAATGTGTCATTGTAGAGATAAGACAGAACTGGGCTGCATTCCACCAGCCTGGCCTCTATAACAATTTTGAGAACTTTCCAGTCATTTTAGGAAAATAAGGTACTTACATATGTATAAAGAAGTTTTTTTTTTAATGAAAGAAAATCACTTATTTTGGAAATAATGAAATTAATCATTCTGTCGCTTTAAAGAAACTCTTTGATGTGTTTTGGTAATTAGTATTTACTGCCAGACGAATGTCTCTTGGGCATTTTAATTAGTAGGTGGCTTGGCCAAATGAGCTTCTGATGGTAGCCCTTTGGAGGAGTTTATGTTTCTCAAGAATAGCAGTCTCTTCAAAGCTCTTTAATTAGACAAAGTTTAGCAACTAAAACATATTATTAGAATAATTAGGCCCCTCTTAAGAGAATTTGGGGGTCAGGGAACAGGTACTGTTAGAAAATGATGTCTTCAAATCAAATCTAGTGTTCTGGCTCCTGTGGAAGTTCAGTTCCTGAACAGTTTGTGTTAAGTTTCCATCTGAAGCCAGGGACTTTGTGTTTGTTTTTTTTTTTAATTCCTGTGGCAGACCTCAATAGGAGCCTAAGAACACCAGAGTGTAAACTCATCCATCCTTGCTTCTAAGATCCCAAGGGGGCTAAGTGTAAGCTCATCCATCCCTACTTCTACCCAGAGGAACTGTCTATTCACTTCCAGCCTGGACACTTCTTATTTTATCTATTCAGTTGCAAAATAACAGTGGTTGTTTTGAGGTAAAAACTTCAAAGATCTTGTATACAGTAAACAAAAATTATCACAGTTCTTTGGAGAAATTTTTTTGATCATCTGTTTTTAATGTTTTCAAACTTGGTCTTACTAGGTAGCCTAGGCTAGCCTGGAGTTAGAGCCCTCCTGCCTCAACTATCCAAGTGCTAGGATCATAGGCCTGTTTTGTCATACCAGACTTGAGGTATCTTTTTAAAAAATTTATATACGTGAAAAAAAATTGTATATATGAATGTGTGCTGTGCACTGCCAAGCACAGGCTCTACCCCTGAGCTACACCTCCTCCTGAAAAGTTACTGTCATATTTACACTCCAAAACTGTATGCCCTTTGTGGTCAAAATACAGCTTGAAGTTTTTCAAAATCCCCCTGTAGCTGGATTGTCCCCTAGCCCCCTTCTTCCACCTCTCCCTTCTCGGCAGCCTGAGCTTTCCTCAGTCTGGGCACTCATGGCTAGTAACATTTTGTCCTGGAGTTTCTTTTTGTTACATATTTTTATAAAGATTGACCTCCTAGTCCTGAGGTAAATTGTCACCAAAACAACTGAGTAACTGTAGTGAATGACCATTAATAAGCAATCAGACATGTATCTGCATGCTTAATTTTTCTTTCTTATTACCTCAGGAACATATTATGGCAGAAATACTCTTTCCCAGCTAGACCAGTTCATTAAAGGTCTTTCTCATGAGATTATTAGAAGTTTCAAACAGAACATGCTATAGCACAGCTCACATTTCTTTTTTGTAAAGATTATTTATGTATGTATTTATGTGTATGAATGTGTGTCTGTGAGAGCCTATGCTGTGTGTACTGATGCCCATAGAGGCCAGAGGAGGGGTCTGATCCCCAGGAACTGGATTCATATGCAATTGTAAGCTGCCCCACATGGATGCTGGGAACTGAACTTGGATCCTCAACAAGAGCAGTAAGCACTCTTAAGTGGTGAGCAGTCCCTTTAGCCCCACAGCTGACATTTCTAATCCAATTAGCTGTCTCATGCCCTGTGTTTGTTGTTGGTTGTATATAGAATTAGGTTTAAGGATATGTATGTCATCAGTTTAGTGTAAATCTATTGCCTTATTGGATAATACTCAAAAATTTGCGGTCATGATTATGGAGTATTCAAACTTTGTTTTTCAATCTTGAAGGTAGCCTGTTATAGTATTGCAGAGTTATATCGAATGTGAGTTTTTTGCTCTACCCTAGCTACATGGCTATTGAAATAACTTCATTTATCTTGGTAGAAACTTCATTTGGGTTTTCTATTAATATTATCTGTAGACATTAACACAATTCTAAGAACATTTGATAACCCAACAAATGCAGATATAAAGATGTATGTACACTGATAAGTGATTAAAGAAGTACGTTTTATATCAAATTATCAAAGTTTAAGGAAAGAGATACTAGCCTGCACAGAGCCCTACACAGAAGCCTCCTGCTGTGTTCTGAAATGATTGATTGCTGGGACTCTGCTTTCTGACCCACCCTGTAAGCACAGGAAATGCTCTGATGCTTAGCTTCATGCCTGTGTCAGTGCTAATGCTATAGAATATTTTGTAATGGGGATGTGAAAAGGAAGATGTTGAGTATTTGGATTCTGGAAAAAATAGCATTCAGCCCTCAGAACACTTTTTTCTTAGGGTGGTGCGGTGTGTGTTCTTGGGTATACACATTCAGAACAAACTCAGACTCACAATGCTTTGGGTTCTTGTGACAAGACAGTTCCATGGGTACACACAGGAAGTACCTTGCTTCCTTTGACTCTGTTCACTTTCTGACTCGTCATTGATGGGCCTCTCCCTGCCTCCTCAGACTGCCTGTGGGGTTATGCCAGCATTCCGGTTGAGAACTGACTCTCTGCTCTTGTTCACACAGACCACCTGGTGGCCCATGGCAGAATGGCCGAAAAGGAAGCCCGGAGGAAGTTCAAGCAGATTGTCACAGCTGTGTATTTTTGCCACTGTCGGAACATTGTTCATCGAGATTTAAAAGCTGAAAATTTGCTTCTGGATGCCAATCTGAATATCAAAATAGCAGGTGAAGTGTGTGCTGAAGACAAACTGGGACAGGGGCCTTTTCTGTCCAGGTTCTTAAAGCAAGGGACCATTCCCCCTATTTTAAAAAAGCCTGTGAGAGTAAGGATAGTTTAGGTTGTTGCTGGGGGTTTTTTTGTTTTTTTTTTTAATGGAGTTGGGGATTGAACCCAGGGCCTTGTGCATGTGAAACATACTTCTGTCACTGAGCTGCATTGCCAGTTCCAAACTTTGCTTTAATAGCCTGAAAATTAGTAAACTTACAAAATAACCGTCCTTAACTCCAGTTCCAGGGGAATCCAAAGTCCTCTTCTGACCTCCGTGGCATTGCATGACACGGACACGGGTGCACTCACTTACATGCAGGCAATACACTCATACACATAAAATAAAAATAATAAAATATTTTTTTAAAATGTAGCATTAGTTGCCTGGTGTGGTAGCACACACCTTTAGTCCCAGCACTTGGGAGGCAGAGGCAGGCAGA